AGACTTTCAATATTTTACCGGTAACACGCGAACATATTCAGAATATATTAAGTTATCCGACAATACCGAATACATGTAGTATTAATATTTTTAAAGACATTGCTACGAACCAACACTCATGTTTCTAATAGATTATTAAATTCCTCATTTTCTGTTAATGCAGGTTTACGCGGCACGTTTAAGGTTTAAACTGAATGTCGCGTTTATTATGTGGTTAACGCATTATATAACAAATAACTCTATTTACTGAAATAGATATCTGAACCGATAAAATACATTATATTGCCAACAACTGATTTATTTGAAGTCATTTTCAATGATTTTATATGTAATTTGATCTTTCATTTTTATTTAAAGTTGTCTTGTCAAAGTCATCAACAACAACTGTGTCCAATTATGATTGAAATTTGAGCCCCTTTAAATATATTGAATACATTAAATACTATTAAGCCGTTGAAAGTATATAATTTTGATTTAAAGCGCGCTGTTAGCGTTCCATTGAAGGTGCGTCAATGAAAAAATACTCTTAACTGCAAACCATTCATTTTTTGAGTATGTGATAGATAGAATATAATATATGTGCTGATTCAATGTTTAATTCATTGAAATCGTCGATTTATACAATATAATGCTCCCCGGAGGCTCGAAAATTATGATTTTATTCAACCCTTTCAATAGATTTAGTAAATTATGTTTATATTATTTCACACACTTGAATGTTGTACGTAAACAAAATTAAATGTTCCAGAGAAACATATAATGTTGCTGTTAAAAGTATTTTTTGTTAAGCAATGTTTTCGTGCATGTGTCATTTGCTGTTGTAGATTATAAATATGTTTAAATCATACAGTTAATTTGGAAGTATTCTTTTTCGAAATTCGAAAAGGTGTTACTTGTAAACTAAATACAACAGCTATAGAAGTTAATAAACTTTAAAGTATATTTACGAAAACAAATCGTTTACCATAAATGAAATTGCAAGTACTGGGTTGACAAAACAGCATGCGACATGTTATTTTTAGAGTGTTGCAATTGCTAAGTACGTTCAGGAGTATAAACTTATTTGTCAATTCAAACCGTATACAATTATAATTACGGAAGGTAATATTTGTCGGTTTGTTAATGTACTGCTATGAAAAAGACTTTAAGTTGAGTCTCTCTGAAGATAAACAACAAGATGTTATTGTCGCATTTAATAATACTTCCAGATATCCTGATGATATGTTTAATTTAGATAATTCTTATTTTGATCAAATGGTGTCTGACATTTATCCGCATGAACTACAACTTAATAAAACGAACTCTTGAAATTTTAGTACATCATTTTTGGATCTTCATATTACTATCAACAACAATTCTATTCACACGAAAATCTATGATAAACGAGACGACTTTGACTTTTGTAATGTTAATTATCCACATTTAGATGGAGACGTACCCCATGCAACATCTTACGGGGTTTATGTTTCTCAGTTAATTAGATTCGCTAGAGCTTGTAGCAACGTAAAGGATTTCAACGAGCGGAATATTTTTATTACCAGCAATCTTCTAAAACAGGGCTACCACTTTCATAAATTACTGAAATATTTTACTTAATTTTACAATCGTAACTTTGATTTAATTTCTAAATTCAATATTTATATAAAAACTCTTCTGCGACAAGGCATTATCCAGCCTGGTTTTTATGGCGATGTGATTTACAAACTTCGTAAGATTTTGGGTCATGGTAATTTTTCTGCTGTTTTTGCTAAAATCATTAAACGTTTTATTAAAAAAGGTTATGACCCTACTATTTTAAGACATACTGCATGTTTAGTGTTCAACCCTTTTACAGTTGGACACTACGCTTTCCTCGTTTGATTACATCTGACGGACCAAGTGGGAGACTCTATGATGGATAGTTCTTAAAGCCCTTTGGGACTGAATTGTCTTAATGTTCGTCTTCTGCCTTGCTTCGTCGGGCCCTTGTAGATGATGTTCTTGTTGCTCTGTCTTCCTTTAGGACATTGAGTACTTTTGTTATGGTCATTGGGTTTACTTTTATATGTTCCTACATGATCATTTTAGTATTTTACTTATTTTACCTTTTGTAACCATGACAATTGTTAGAATTTCACTTGGCGGGGATTCATTTTATTTACACTGTCTCGTTTATAGAAACATGGTGGGGCTAAGAGCGAGGTTTGGTGCACCATTAACCGGTTTAAACTCCCCAGCAGTCATTATTATGCTGCTGACCGTTCCAAGGCGGCGCCCCTCTGTGTTCCTCAGATGTATGTCTATGTTGTTTCATACTGTTTTGGTGACACTTTTGCTTGTGTCCCTTGTTGTTTTCTCGTCTACGGTAAGTATCTTCCCCATTACCCCAAGTAGTTTTTATTTCTTTGATTACCCCCCCCCCTTCCCCCCGGTCTCCTGTCCCCTTCCCCTTTGACTTTGTGGGCCTATTATTCAATCATTTATTTGTTTTCTTTGAATTCCTAATCAGTTACAAATTATTTATCATTTAGTGATTAACCTGTCCGTGCTCTGTCTTTGCCCTGTCCTGTTTTTGTTTGGGGTCCGCCTGGGCTCCTTGCCACTGGTTCTTGTTGCTGGGTCATATGGGGGTTGCGTTCATTGAACGCCGCCTTTCCTTGTTGATCTTGTTTATCATATTTTATTATAACTTAAATAACTTTGGTATTAAATCTGCACTCGTTCAATATCCTTAAGTTTATATATGTATAACAAAAAAATTTGATGAATTCATACAGAAAGATAATTATGAGTAAGAATGAAGATATTCAATGCATTTACTTAAACCTGTATATAAATTAAGTTTCCTTCTTGAATAAGAAAATGATATATTACATTTTAAGGAACAATGAATTGTATAAACTAATGATTGAGACATGAATCGTGTGAATACTTGAATAAAGTATAACTTTTTGAAATTTTATAAATAAAATTTTAACAGACCTGTAAGTTTATCATTAACTCAAACCAATATACGTAACGCTTGACCGATTTTGACGATAAATATGCAAGATGTGTCGGTGGTTAATCAATAAATAATCGATCGATATATATTTTCTATGGAAGCGCATTGTGGTCACATCAACCATACAAATATTATTATTGATATTAAAGCTTTGTAATATCAGGTGAATACAAAACGCAATATAAATAAGAAATGTATATAAATCTGAGTTTTAGGCTTTTAAGCAACCGCAATGTAGAGGGACATAATAAGTACAAATATTTTCTTAAATATCTTGTATATTGAATGTAATTAATGTAAAGATACTATTGAATCTTTTAAACATTTATGCTTGTAAGTGAAGTATCAAATATCAGTTAAATATGCCTAATCTGCTTCGAGATAGATATATGCAATATGTTATATGTCCAATTGCCACCCCTTTATCATTGTGGAAAACCTGAAACCTGAAAACAATAATCATTATCTTCCTGAATGTCACTTTTATAGTAAATTTCGTATATGCCTTCTTACATAAGTGCGACGAATCGCTCAAAATGTCTCTCTCCATATTCTCCTGTTCGGGGATGCTTCTCTTTCTCAATTAGATCTGATCTTATTTTCTCTTCGTCTCTTACTGTCTTTAAGTTGTTGTCTGTTAATATATACTAAAATATTCATTAATTACTAATAATATGAGTTCCTTACCACAAAACATTGATTTGTATTTTATTTTTCAAAGTATTTTGGCATACTTTGTGGCATACAATCAATAAAGACGGTTGTTGTACACACTTTGCAATATGATTGTATACTATTTACATGTACATCAACCAGGCATGTATAACTTTTTTGTAATTAATCAATTATGGAGATTGACTTAAATAAGCACCTAATGCTTTCGTTAAATTCGTCGATTATGATAGTATGTTTGTTGATATATTTTATGTTGTAGATCTAGTCTGATCATATAGCATATGCAATAAATATGTTTAAACTAAGTGAAAATGTAATTTCAACTATAATTTTGCAATTTGCATTTTCCGTTCTTTTTACTAGTTAAACAACTATCTTAAATGCTTAATCGAACATGAAATTAAAGTTTATATGAATAAACATAATGGATCGTGTTACTCATATGTTTTATATATTGTGTTTACGGCAAAGCCATCTAATACAAATCAATCAAAAATTAAATTAAATATTTGGGATTCTTCAACAATTCCGGCCTTTGCAGAAATCGTACAAATAGACAACAATTCTAATGCCTTTTCATGTAAACAATGTTAAAAAACTAAATTTGAATGATATCTCCAAAAACTACAATGCCAAGAGCTTGGGTATTTGGCATGTAGCATCACCTTATTATCATTTAGTTTACAATTATTGGGGAAATAATGGCAAACCCAATGTTACCTTATCACTGGCTTTAACATTTTAGCAATGTGTCTCATGTGAGCAATAAAGGACCATCACGCCCCTCTTGTCTTTAGTACATTCATCTTTCTTAGCCAAAATATCTAATGTTGCTTAGGTGTCTAATGTTCTAACTCGAAGTTTGACGGAAAGTGCCGAGAAGTAACAATTTTAAATGGTATAGTACAAATTTAATCAGTGCAAATTATTAAATAATTTGTGCAAGACTTATTTTATCCTTTAGATTGTAGAGCTTGACGTGTTTTTTCCTTCTTTCGTCGACAAAGTGACTGTTCCCGTACTCACTGCTGTCTGATTTCTAGTCTCTGAATTTTTAACTCTTGGTTACATAAACTGATAATGAAATTATTGATTATAAATGCAAATGTAATGGCCTTTATAGGTTTCCGTATATAACAAATCGTTGCAAACGAGTTGTTGTCTGGCACAAGGAAGTTGGAAAATAATTTGTTATTCAATCATTCTCAACATCTAAGATGTTTAAACTCGGGGATTGTGTTACAGCTTTTACCACAATGACTTTGTATAAGATATAATAATTAAAAAATAATGCAATATCGTTCCACCTGCTAATGATAATTTAGATCAAATATATTATAAGTTGAATTCATAATTTTAAATAAAAAATACAAAATGGAATTGAGTGATATTGAAATGGACAAAAGTAGATCAAATGATGAAATTGTATATGAGAACTTAAAGATTTCGACCGAAAGTTGTTCTACCGAACCACAGTCAAAGAAAATTGAAGAGGAACCTTATGAGACATTGAAATATGGTGACTTTGATAAAAGAAAAGTTGAAAGTGGAGATGACGACACTGTAAAGCGACTGAAATATGTGATTTATGTATTGATAGTGTTGATAAGTGTTCTTTACATCACTCTTATCACGTTGGTCATTGTACTGTTCGTTCCGAAGGAACCAGGTACTTTTTATTGTATTTTATATTTATACTGTCACAAATATTATAAGCTTAAACATTTAAGTTGATTAAGCTCAAAAATAATTCCAATAATTTTTTTGTCATGCTTATATAAGTTTTTTTTAACTCGCTGTATGCATTGAATACATTTTAATAATCATTAAAATCCAGTCGACGGTCGTTGGGCACAATGGTCAAGCTGGACCTCGTGTGACGTAACGTGTGGTAACGGAACACAACTACGAACAAGAACATGTACTAATCCAATGCCTGCGAATAAGGGAAGTGACTGTAATGGAGAAAGTTTGCAGAGTAGTGAATGCTCAAAAGACAATTGTCCAGGTGTTTACTTAAAATCATATAATATAAAACATAAATAAAGTTTTAGAGGCAGAGAAGAATAAGCATATCGTTTTAAATTCACTTTACTTGAGAATTTTTAAAATAATGCTAAGTTGCTGTACTGAAATTTAACCATGACACATACAAAATTGTATAGTATAGTTCCAGTTGCTTTGCGGTTTCCCGTTAATGTTTATCTATAATTTGTCATCAGAACATACTATTACACATTGTACACATTACTAGTATTACAAAATAAATCATGTATCTATGAAAGCTCATAGATCTGTTCAATATATTATTTATTGTTTTACTTTAAATAAAAGTTGCTTCTTTATTTTGGGTGAAAAAAAAAACAAACTTTAGAGCAATTAAGTCTCTAGTAGATATCAAAATAACAAGGTTTTTTTTCATAACACAATTCACAAAACAAACACATTCTAAATCATACTTAGTCGATGGTCAATGGACACTCTGGTCAACCTGGACTTCTTGTGACGTCACTTGTGGACATGGAACTCATCTACGTTCGAGGACATGCACAAATCCAGTTCCGACTAATTATGGACTCGATTGTACTGGAGAGAGTTTACAAAGTGCTGAATGCTCAAAAGGAAGCTGTCAAGGTATTTGTATTATAAAATTCAATTATATAAGAACACAAATATCGCCTTTGATGAGTTTGGATTCAAGTGTTAGATTATTTATTTTGGACAACATAAGAATTAATGAAGAATATACATTTACTAGATGTAAAGGAGGTATTGTATAAATAAAACTTTGATGCAAAATCAATAAAACAATATATTTCAATATTGTTCAGAAACTATTATATTTAAAAGAAAAAAAAACAATAACAATAAAATTCGTATATAAAATATGATAACCAAGATATGATAACATACAAATAAAGACTATGATTAACTCGTGAATGCTAGACTTTTAGAAAATCAATAGTGTAGGGTTTTTCCATCTAATCCGGTTGTTCAAACATTTAACCGTAATAGCTTTTCGGTGACATTTGACATGTCGGTCATCTAATAAAAGAAGATACAATTTGTATGAAAGTAACCGTTAATAATGCGGAAATATATTGTGATTTTATGGCAATATTGAACTTAGATTTATATTTCGGGAGAATTTTTGTTAGTTTCTGTAATTCATTATGATTTACGCTTACGATCTTAATGATACTATAGATCTCGATACTTAAATCAATAAATACTGCTCGATGGTAAAGTGGAAAGAATGACGGAACGTGGCCACGTAGTTGCATGTTCGATTGTGTATTTAATTTCTAGCATTCTTTTTCAATTTCATTATTTTGACAAATACATATTTTTTTAATTTCATAAATTTCAATATGAAAAGTTGTCAAGTTTTCCAAAATGTGAAACAAAAAACATATTCGAAAACATAAAAATCACATGTTGTACATTTTCCGTTATTCTTTTTATTCTGGATGACCTCTTTTAATTTCAACAACAGTTAATAGGAATGTACAAATAATGAATATAAATTTAGTACTATAAGAACGTTGACGTGTGTGTTCAGTTTTCTTGTGTAAATAAAGAGTCTAATTAAATAGTACTGTTACAAATATTAAAAGATTGTTTTTCAAGCAAACAACAATGCATACTTTGATTTTGTGTTTATAAATGATTATTATTAAAACCCAGTCGACGGTCAATGGGCTGAATGGTCAATATGGAGCTCGTGTGACGTAACGTGTGGTAATGGAACTCATCGTCGTACAAGAACATGTACAAATGCAGTGCTTACGGATAAGGGAGTTGATTGTACTGGAGAAAGTTTGCAGATTAGTGACTGCTCTAAAAGCATCTGCCCAGGTGTTTGCTTCTTATAATTTTATATATGTAAAAGACGACATAAGTTTGTTGTAGGTTTAGTTTTCAAATTGAAACGTATAAAATAATTATCCTGCTTTTCTGTTTTTAAACTTTTATTCAAATAGATTCGTTTGAATTCAAAATCTAAATAACGTTTTAAGACAACTAAACGTTCATACATAACCTTTCATTGAAGGAATTTTTCAAACAACGTTAGCTTATCTAGTTCTACATTATAATAATAATAATAATGATAATAATAAAGACTTTATTTAAAGAGGCAACATAGTTAGGCATGCCCAGTCTTCCCTATGAGCCTCTATAAATCTGCCCAGGTGTTTGCTTATTATAATTTTATACATTCAATGTTTCATTCGTTTATATTGTTAATAACTTTTATATTCTAGATAAGACTTGCGTTAGACTCTATCTCTGTCTCTTTCCCTCTGTCTCAGACACTTTCATTCTCGCAAAATATTCTAAATTGTATGAAACTATTTTAAGATTGAAATAAAGAAAGAACACATTCTGTTTAAGCATATACTATTTTAGTCGATGGTCAATGGGCATATTGGTCAAGCTGGACCTCTTGTGATGTCACATGTGGACAAGGATCTCGTCTACGTTCTAGAACGTGTACAAATCCAGTTCCAGCGAATAACGGACTCGCTTGTACTGGGAATAATTCACAAACTGCTGAATGCTCGAAAGTGAACTGTCCAGGTCATTTCTTTTTTCAATGATATGATTTTCTGATAGGAATAACTCAAATTGACATTCATTCCTAAATCAGCATGCCTTCAGATTCGTTCTACTTTTTCATAACTTTTGTAATTTTTTAAAAAGTTGAATATTGTGAAGCGAACAAATAAAGTAATGAACGCACTGCAAACCGTACTTAGAATTTACGACAAATACTAATATAATACCTTGTTAAATATGGTGATAATAACTGCAACATATCTTTAATTGGATAAAACATGTAAATTATGTATTTAATTGTGAGTATAATGATTCATTATTCTTAATTCTAAGTTCATTTTTCTCAATGTTGATTATCTCGAAATATTTTGGCTCATCTGCAGGCATGCAGCTAGTCTACTGAACTCAATCATTATGTTATTTCAAACTAATATTATTAAGTTTATTTTTAATAGTTAAATACAATGCAAACTTTAATCTAGGTTTTAAAAACATTTTATAACCTTGCAGTCACTGTGCAGAATCTTTTTTTTTTTTTTTGAAAATTCGGAAGCGCTGCACAGTCCTTAACTGTTCGTCGCTCGTTTTGAATTGGCATGATTTATAAATGATACACAAATGTTTATCTTTGCCATGATTTAAGAAATAATATATCCCAAAGAGTGATTTATCGCTATTTTAAATACACTGCTTGGAGTTTCGATGCAAGGAATTATATCACGAGGTCGTAGCCAGAGTGATGTAATGATGCGCATCTGAACGACAAAGAGCAATTTTATCAAGCGATAAAATTACTGACTTGGATATACACATGTATTAGTTCAATTCTTTTAAGATATCAACAAATAAATGCTGCCGTTTCTGATATTAAAATTGCGCCTGATTATCTTATTTTCAGCGCGTTGCATTTTTAATGTTTACGTCATATGTCAAATGGTTACGTCACTTGTCTGAATTTAGAAAATCAACAGTGCTTTTATTGCATAGTAAAACTCACTTTCGGACATGTTAGAATATTGCATTATATGACTGGAAACTTTTATACTTATAGGATACATATGGTGCACCACTCAGTAAATACAGCAATACTATTCATTCTTTATAATCTCCTTCAACAAAAGTTTATGAAAAATATTGCAAAAACGAAGAGGAATTAAACACTTCTGTTAACGCCTGGTAATTATAAAAATTCGGGAAACAAAGTGATCCCTCGGAAGCATTAATCACAACAACATTACATCGAAAATTACAGACTCGGTATAATTGAAAACTTACAACAACTTTATAAATAGAACGGGAACAAATATACGAAGCTATTATATTGATTATCATATAGGAATAAAATCAATTTGATTGCTGTATTGATTCTTATTTCATATCTTAATTAATATCTTAACATTACATTAAATTCCAGTCGACGGTCGTTGGGCTCAATAGTCAAGCTGGACCTCGTGTGACGTAACATGTGGCAATGGCAAACATTACCGATTGCGAACATGTACGAATCCAGTGCCTATGAATAATGGAGATGATTGTATTGGAGAAAGTTTGCAGAGCGGTGAATGCTCAAAAGACAACTGTCCAGGTTTTTTTTTCTTTAAAATTGGTGTTTTTAGAAAAACAGAGTAACTACGATAAAAAGATAGATAATTGATTTAACTTTTATTTTCATCTTTTCTGAATACAGATAAAAATAATCCTACTGATAAATTGTTTATCCACACTTGCACATACATAAACGTTTTGTTCCTTATTATTCAGAGGGTAAAGACAACTATATCTGTATCAGTTACATGCTTGTCATAATGATTTACAAAATATACGCAAGCAATTTCGATAATGAACAATAACAATTGTACATTAATCATTATTGTATATAGCTTTTGCAAAGTCATTTTGACTCTAACGTTTCAACTCAAATGTCAAGATAAGTAGCACCTACCAGAATATAAGCAATTGCATGATTAACTTACGTCTTCCTTTAACAAAATTTTTCATGTCAAGGTTGTCGAGTCAATCCATATCTATATTCAGTGGTTCTATTTTGGTTAAACCTTTGAATGAGTTAAAAAATCTATTGTAAAGTTCTAAATCAATATTTATAAAACATATCTTAAGATTCAAATACAAATAAACTTATAATACAATCAAAGATATCTTTCAGTCAATGGTCAATGGGCACATTGGTCAAACTGGACTTCATGTGACGTCACGTGTGGAAAAGGAACTCATCAACGTTCTAGAACATGTACAAGTCCAGTTCCAGCGAATAGTGGGCTCAGTTGTACAGGAGAGAATACACAAAATTCCGGAAACAAAGTGATCCCTCGGAAGCATTAATCACAACAAAATAACTTAAGAATTGCAGACTCGGTTTTATTGAGTCTGTACATGAGGGATAATGAATAAGTGCAACATCCCTCACGCCCCCTAGCACCGGCTTGAGCGGTACTCAATTCTCAACACTTTATAGTGCTGGCATCAATGATCCCGAAGGACCAGAAAATATAACAACACTGAAGTGAAGTACGGGGCAACTTTTTACGGCTGCCACACGGCACTTGACACCTGCTGTTGTGAAGTACAAAATTCCGGAAACAAAGTGATCCCTCGGAAGCATTAATCACAACAAAATAACTTAAGAATTGCAGACTCGGTTTGATTGAGTCTGTACATGAGGGATAATGAATAAGTGCAACATCCCTCACGCCCCCTAGCACCGGCTTGAGCGGTACTCAATTCTCAACACTTTATAGTGCTGGTATCAATGATCCCGAAGGACCAGAAAATATAACAACACTGAACAACACAAACTGCTGAATGCTCAAGAGACGGCTGCCCAGGTTGTAATAGATGTAATTATAAAGAAAATGAATAATGCTGTCAACCGTATTTTTTAATTTGAATTTTTTTGGCTAAATGCGGAAGTTCATTTAATTTAAAATACTTGCTATCATCGCTATAGGTTCGATTCCTTTCGGGGACCTTCGATTCTTTCATGCAAAGAAGCTATCCGATAAGGTAACAGAACATCGGTGGTTCAACTCAGGTTCCCAATCGTGCCTGAAATAATGTACGGGGCAAATAGGCTTCCGCTTCCAGTAAAGCTGTAAAGTAGAGTCACAATGTGGTCTTCACAGCTTGGCCGAACAAAAAAAACCTTTTTCAACACCATCATCTCTAAATAACGATGTAATAACCGCGATAAAATTGTTTTCATGCTTAGATAATGCCTTGTATTTAATATACGTTTTGTGAATGATATGGCGTTAATGTATAAGGTAGATAGTTTTTCAAATACATATGTTGAGACTAATGCAAATGATTATATGATGACACAGAATGGACTAGGTTATTTGTAAGATTGCAAGCATTTCTAATACATATAAAGTTTTCAATGACGAGTAAAAATGATTCATCATGTAATTTTTACATGTATTAATAAGTTTATTTTAAAGAGTTTAGATGCAATGTTAACCTCAATCTATGTTTAAACACAAATTTTAATTACCTTGCATCAACTGCGCCAAACCAAATTACCTTGTTATGATACAACGAATTAGAATTCGGAAGTGCTGCACCATTCTTACCTATTACTCGTTTCATTTGAAAAGCCATGATTTGTATATCACAAAAAAATGCATCTATGCCATTAATTAAGAAATAATATATCCCAACAGTGATTTATTGCTAAATAAAATACACCGCTAGGAGTTACGATTCGAGGAATTGTATCACGAGGGCGTAGCCAGAGTGATATAATGATGCGCGTCTGAAAGACAAAGAGAGTTTTTATATAATTTCAATAATGAAGTGGATTAGACAACTTCTAAACTTCTTTAAAGCCGAGTAAGTTGCATTAGAAGTTTATGAGGTTGCTTATATTGATAATCTGGTTACTGGACATATTCTCATTAATTGAACCAATTAGAAAATGATTCATGATGTAATGTTTCACATTTATTAATAAGTATATTTTAAACAGTTAAATGCAATGTGCAATGATAACCTCAATCTGTGTTTTAAATACAAATAAATAATAATTATCTTGCATTAACCGCGCCAAATCAAAGTACCTTGTTTTGATATAACGAGTTTTAAGTCGGAAGTGCTGCACCATTCTTACCTATTACTCGTTCTATTTGAATTGCCATGATTTATATATATATATATACAAAAAATTAATCTATGCCATTATTTCAGAAATAATATATCCCAACCGTGAGTTATCGCAAAAAAACTACGCCAGAGTGATTTAATGATGTGCATCCGAACGACAAAGAGTGTTTTTATCAAACGATAAAATCACTGAATTGGATACATTCGTTTCTCAATAAATGTAAACTAATAAATGTTGTCGTTCCTGATATCAAGCTAAAAAGCGTACTTATTTTCAGCGCGTTGCATTTTTAATGGTTACGTCATATGTCATATGTTTACGTCACATATCTAAATATAGAATACCAACAGTAATTTAATTGCATAATAACAATCACTTTCGGTCCTCTTTTGTAGAACATTGCATTATGACTGGCAACTTTTATTTTGACAGGATATGTATGGTGCACACTTTAATGATAATCATTCAGTCAGTTCAGCTATGCTATTCATTCTTTATGATCTCTTTCAACAAAAGTTTATGAAAAATGTTTCAATAATGAAGTGGATTTGTCACTTTCTATCAACGCCTGGTAATTAAAAGGTTTTACCTTTATCTTATAACTTTATAAATTGAACAGAAACAGAATAAACAAAGCTTGAAAATTGATGATCGTATAGGGAATACAATCACTTTGATTTTGGTACGAGCTGTATTAATTCTTATATATTTATATCTTAAGGTGACAACAGACACTTTCCGTGGTACTCACATAAATGTAATTTAAACCAAGTTATTTTAGTAATAATTGTTATTTATTTAATCTTTATGCATTAAATGTCGCTGATCAGCATAAAAAATAACATATTTGAAAAAAAATGCTTTTGTAAATGATTGATTTTGAATAAAAATCCTAAAATTTTAAATCGTCATATCAAAGTCATTTTTTATTTTTTTGTCATCAAACTTTTGGAAAATAACCTTACTTATATTATCTGGGGAACAGTGTCTCAAATGTTTTCTATCTTTTCTCAAAAAAAATATTACGTAACGTCAAACATTTTTATGCGACTTTTTTCACCATACATATTACGTAATTCAAGATAATTAAGTCGCTGATTGAGCAAACAAAAATCCCTGACACGGTTCCCTCCGTAAATGAATTTCCTTTCATGTGCTTTAAACCGCATGTTAATTGCTTGATTATTAAAAAAGTTATGCCGATTCAAAGTTAGTCCGACCCGCATCAAACGAAGTGTCATAAATCGGCTGTTCTCTCTCGGACCCCTACGTTTCACGCTAAATAATTGCATAATACACAAATATCGCACCAGAGAGGGTCACAAGTTGCGGTAACATACTCTAACAACATTTATGACCCAGTGACATCTGACCAATTAAAAAGCTGCTGATTAATATCAGTTTATAGCCGAAATTTCTTCAATTCTTAACGTGATTTACTGTTCGTCTGGTATCTTTCGCACATGTCACGTGACTATCGGTAAAATTTGAGGCACTCAGTGGGGGGAAATGGAACGCATTTGCGCACCGCTAGCGGGGTATTTAATTGTTTCCTTTTTGAAGTTTATTATTATCATCATCAGCATTATTATTGTATTATACCAGTGTCACTCTGCCTGTGTATTCGTGTATGAAATTCCGTTAAAATATAAAATAAAATAACAAAAAACTGAGCTTCTGACAGTCTTTTAAAGTCCATGGTAGATGTACAAATAAGAACAGGATATTATATATTTTTCCACCAAATTTGATAATGCTTCACATATTTTAATAGAAATAAAAGGTATTACTCGATCATTATGATATGGCCTTCTTGACTTCTATTATGAATATCATCTATGCACGGCATAGAGATCCAGTTTCTACCGGGATAGACAATAAATTTCATACTTTGTCCCAGATTTATTAGTACTGTGTCCAATTTACTGGCGAACAATTTATTTTCACTGAAAATATATATTTTAATATCTTTTTTTTATTCATAGAGAAATAATCATCCTTAGACAATCTAAAATGGTTTAGAAATTTGTCAGGTACACCTTACCACAAGTCATATAGGCGTTCACATAAAAATGTTGTCTGTTTTTGTTGTTGTTTTACTCGACATTGATAGAAAACGAGGTTGAATGTAAAGTAAGCCCTTGAATCCGTACAAAAGTCTATCAACTCAATGTAATATCTATCAGATTAACGGGACAGACAAATTATTTTCACACATTATGGATATTTTAGCAACTACATTTTTATTCAACCCCGTGGTTGTGCGATTTGCCGCTATGCTTAATTATTTATGTTACGTACATTGGCCGACAATTTCTCAATTTATAAAAAAAGCTAAATGTTGAGATATTCATAAAAGATGTACGGTAGTTGTACGATACATGTATTACGAGAAGTATGGACCTGTAATTCACGGATATATGGAACTACCGATTTCCCTCATTGATGCCTCAACAGGGGGCGGAGCGTTATCGATAATCGACAGGTTACGCGAGTAGCAGTTACAAATAGTATAGGTACCGTTTTAAAACGTTTAAAAACACATTTTTTGGACTAACTGCTTCCAAAATTAAATCACGAATGTGTTCAGAAAAGGTTGATAAATCTACTTAGCAAAAAATCTCATTTTAGGTATTTTCAGTGATAATTGACTCCGTTGTCACCTTAACACACTTCTTTAACATTATTATTTAAATCCAGTCGACGGTAGTTGGGCTCAATGGTCAAGCTGGACCTCATGTGACGTAACATGTGGTAATGGAAAACAACTACGGTTAAGAACATGTACAAATCCAGTGCCTATGAATAATGGAAATGACTGTATTGGAGACAGTTTACAGAGCAGTGAATGCTCAAAAGACAACTGTCCAGGTTATAGCTCGAATTTTGGTTCATACACAATAACAAAGTTACAAATGAGACAAATATAGATATTTCATTTAACTTTTCATGTCATCTTTTCTGAAAAAAATTATCCTACTGATAAATTTTTATCCACACTTGCACATACAAAAATGTCTTGTTTCAAAATATTCAGTAGGTAAAGACAGCTTTATTTGTATCAATTACACAGTCTTATCATGATGATTTCCAAAATATGCGCTGCAGTTTTGATAATGAGCAATTCATAATGTACATTAATCATTATTGTTTATAGCTTTTGCCAAGACATTTATTACTCGAACCAGTTAACTTAAATGTCAAGCCAAGTAGCATCTACCAGAATATTGGCAATTGCATTATTAACTTATGCCTTCTTTCTACAAAATTGATCTCCTTCAGTTTGTTTAGTCAATGCATATTAAAAAAGTCGTTCTGTTTTAAATTACCACATTGTATACTTATTTTGATATATATCATGTTTCTATAAAATAAGACTATAAATAAGTAATAAACTATTTTATTTTCATGAAATTTGCGCTGATATGGGTAAAACCTTTGAAGTAAATAGTACAAATATCTATTGCAAAAGGTCTTAATCAATATTTATTATTTATAAATTATATCGTAAGATTCTAATACATAAAAATGAACTTAATGTATAAACGGCGATATCTTTTAGTCGATGGTCAATGGGCACATTGGTCAAACTGGACTTCATGTGACGTCACGTGTGGAAAAGGAACTCATCAACGTTCGAGAACATGTACAAATCCAGTTCCAGCGCATAATGGACTCATTTGTACAGGAGAGAATACAGAAACTGCTGAATGCTCAGAAGACAGCTGTCCAGGTCGTAATATGATTCAATATAGATTCAATATAGATATAATTATATGGAAAATGAAAGAAAAAACGGTTTTCAGTTCAACCGTAGAAAAAAAATTACTTATTTTTCACACAAATATGTGAAAAACATTTAGTTTTTTTTATTTGAAATGCTAAACAATTTTTGGCTAAGTGTGGAAGTTTGTCGACTAAAGGTTCGAATCCCTTTTGGAACTTTTGATTCAAGTAAGGAAGCTAACAGAACATCGGTGCTTCTACTCAGGTGCCTGAAATAATGTACGGGGGCAAATAGTCCTCCTCCACCAGTAAAGCTGTTAAGTCGCAATGAGATATTTACCGCTTTGCCAAACTATAAAAACTATTTCAATATCAACATGTCCAAACGACCATGCAATAACGACGTTAGAATTTGTTTTCTTGCTTAATAACGCCTTGTATTTATTTTGTAAATTGTAAATAAAACAATGACATACGTTTAGTGAATGATATGACGTTAACGTATAAGGCAGATAGTTTTTCAAATACATATGTTGTGACATATGCAAATGATTATATGACAGACTAGGTTATTTTTAAGATTGCAAGCATTTCTTATACATACATACAAAGAGTTCAATTACGAGTTTAACAGCCACCGGAAAATCTTTGCACCACCGGGATAGTGGCAAACTTCACTACCATTTATAATTGCCCTAAACACTTAAAAATCATTTCATCTGATAGATTTAATGTTAATTATAAATAATTGACTTCATTTGAAACTATTTTAATTTTTTTTCTTATCAAAAATTGTATTTTAAAAATAAATTCCGGGCGGAAATTCATGTATTCCGCCCGGAATTATGATGTCCGGCCGGAATTTACTTATATTCCAATTGGAATTTTTTCCAACATTATTATTTATTCCAACGGGAATTTCAATTTTTCCAGCAATGCTATAACTATAAAAATAACCATTCATACATCCTTTAATGACTTTCTGACTAGTTTTGAAGAAGTTATTCTCTAAAATAAAAAAATCCCATTTTGAAAGCTGGAAAAAATTCCAACTGGATTTTTACAGAAAAATTTAAAAAAGCATAAAAGCGATAATAATTAAAGGCAAATGATAGTTTTCGATAGAAATTAACATAATTATACACGCTGAATTACCAATAAGATGCTTTGAAAAAAATGAAAATCCGATTGGATTTATATCCAATTATTTTTGTTGGAAAAAATTCCAACTGGATTTTTTTCCAATAAAA